TGAATACTGTCTTCACGACGTTTCACGAGAAAATGTTAATTATAAAGAAAAGAACTGAGGAAAACTTTCAGCAACATCGTCACGTCATCATCCTTTTTTCAGATGGTAATAAATTAGCTCCACAATTTCTTTTTTTCTTTCTTTTTTTCAGAAAACTGATTTTGTAAAAGGCAACTTAACGTGCTGTGGTGTTTTATCACAGGTATATATAACATGGGAGGTTCACCTGAACCCACTGTAAAAAGCATAAAGAGAACTGTGTATATGAATCCTGACATTGTAGAGGGAGAGAAGGCCAGAGGAGATTATCTTGGTGAGTTTTCATTTTAAACATTGCTTTTTTAAGAATTCATAGATGCTATAAATATTACAGCTGGTTAATGCAAGGGAATTTGAAGTTTCCTTCAGTGAATACAGGTCACAGTGCCCCCCCCCCTCCCTTCCTGCAGGAGCTACAAAAGCAGATGCATCAACTCAAAAAGACACAAACTGCCATTATAAAAATATTATTGCACCATTTCAGTTGAAAAAACGAGCAAGAGCTGGTTTTAACCATCACCACTTGCACCATTTCAGTTGAAAAAACAAGCTGGTTTTAACCATCACCATGATTTCTCATTCCCATTTTTATTACATGTGTAAAATATGGATTTTTTCCTTATTCCTCCACCCAGGGAGGCGTGCTTCATACATTAGAAACCACTGAAATGGACAAGTAGCTTAGTAGTTCAAGTTCAAATTTTCTAATCTCCCCCCTAATTTGCTGATGTCCGCCTAGCGACCCCTGGTTTAGAGATTTACAAATTGCCAGTGGATATAAGACAAACACATTATGGGGAGGTAGTTACTAAGGGCCAGCTGTACAGTGCCAACTCCATTATTGTTTTTAGAGCTTCCATCTACTTCCATCAAACATCACTGACTTGCAGCAAGGATTCAAATCTACTTCATGTAAAACTTGAGATTCCTACACTCTCTGCCGACAAGTAACGTTTCATTTAATTAGAAATGTAGCACCCTCCCAGAATGATCCTGACATGAAGTGTTTCATGGAAGAGGAGGGTTGACTTCATCCTGTTGTGTTTCATTGTTTCAGACATCTATGTCTTCGCCATCGGAGCAGAGATCTACGACGACGACCTGCTGCGTCTCACCACAGGCAATGGTGGACCTCATTACTTTAGATTAAATGACGTGGATAAAAAACTCAATCAAACCTTTGATGAAATGATTGGTAAGGCACGTCGGCTGGTGAAGTCACTAAAAGTCAAATACCCCCTTCCCTCCCCCATGTTTCCTCATATTGAAGCCTAACACCTATGTCTACTCCTATGTCTAAGTTTGAGATGCAGTGTGCAGTGTATGAGCAACAGAGAATATTAAAAATCACTAATGGGTCTTCAGTGTGTTTCCACATCAATGACTAAACTTCATTTCCAAATAACAACATCTACTTATTTTATTTTTTTCCTACTTACAGATGAAAGTGAGGTGGTAGATCTGTGTGGTCGTCACACACACTATGACCTGGATGGCACTAAAGAGAGCAAAAGAAAAATGTATCCGTGGTGGGCGTATATCGTGGTGCAGGTGAGTTCTGTTTCTGCCTTGAAATCTGATTCTAAATCATGTTGAGAACTAACTTTAATAAAACTAAATTCCTTTATCTTTCCAATATTTAAACCGTCAGAGGGAAAAGAAAAAGGAATGCCTGGGATCTCTTGTGACCAAAAAGTTTGTTCTGACAGCTGCACACTGCTTCACATTCGACGACGAGGCACATCACGTGAAAGTGGAGATTGATGATGCAAATGGCAGATGTATGTATATGAACTGTATATATCAGTGCTCACGCTGCTTTTCATACTCTTCGTGTAAAATTTTTTAAAAAATATTCAGGTTTATTTTGTTTTCCCAGTGAAAGAAGTAGAAAAGATCTATATACACCCCAATTACAACGTCAATGCTAAGAAGAATGAAGGTGTGAAAGAGTTCTACGACTATGACGTGGCTCTAATTCAGCTGAAGGAAGGTATTATAGACCCCAGGTATTCAAGGTAAGAACATACGTAAGCCCAAACGTTCTTTTTGCCTTCTAGAAGTTAAGGTCATAGCGCCACCATGTTGCGTTGTTTATGCCAGCGATTATTCCCACTTTGAAACTAATGAAGAAGAAACACTTTGGTCTCGTCCCTGCACCAGCAGCAGTCTGCGTTTTTACCATTGGACATCCCTGTTCAAGTGCTTAAAAAAAAAAAGAAATCCTACAATGAAAATATAAAACATTTTTTACAGCTTCAGAACATTCAAGGCTCAACCTCAAAGTAGACGAATTACGGAAATATATCGACCACTGATAACAAGGGGATCAAATTAGGAGCTAAGAGTTTGTGATTCTTCTGGTAATGTTCTACCTTTAATCCATGTCCAATGATGTTGTGTATTTTGATCAGACCTATTTGCATACCCTGCACGAAGAACGCTAATGATGCTCTTCAACTGGTGGAGGGAGCCACCTGCAAACAACACGGTTAGTTAAGTTCTCAGGTAGCGTGTTTCCTCTGTATACTTTTATAACGATGTCCTTGTTAGCAATGTAAAAATGTATTTGTTTTCTTCTAATCCAGAGGAGCTGCTGATGAATAATCAACTGGAAAGACTGAGTTTCCTGACCCATTCTGTTGAGGGTCTTGAGGTTAAATCTGTCACTGCTAAGCTTGGTGATAAGGTGAGTTACTCATACTTGTCAGAATTATAATTCTTCGTTAAGAATAATAATATTTATAATACTACCAAGACACCTTAATGCCAATACTATATTTAAGACTGTAATATATGTGACTGTGTAAAACACACACCTGATGGTTCTGCTCTAAATTCTCCACCACAGAGAGATAAATGTATAAGACACGCCTTGGACGCAGAAGGAATTTCACCTGAGCTGGTGAAAGATCCAAAAATCCCAGTGACCGACAACTTCCTGTGCACCGGTGGTCTTGATCCCTACAGAGATCATATAGCATGTACAGGTACGTGTCTGCCTCCTGGCTGTAGACTACAGCATCAACTCCCCTTTCCAGAAAAGTCGATACACCTATTAAAGATTCAATTAGAATACAAATCTGTCATTTGATCAGCAGATTTCTTATCACATTTTCTACTCTAGGCACTTGTAAAATAAAGATATATATTTCTTTCTACAAAATGAACCCATTCCTGATTTAATTTTTTTCCACATTTTTGTTTATTCCCTCAATTTACAGCTTAATTGTGCTGCTTTGTTGTGCAGTAATTTGAATTTTTTTCATATTTAGTCTTTTATTTTATTTTATCAAATTCCACTCTGATATAGTTTTCCTAAGGCATGACTTAATGTTGTTGCCAACATTAAGACATTTTTACCAAACATTTGTAAGTATTTTAAATGTGCTAGGCTAATCCAAACCTGTTTGAATAACTTTTATGTATTTTTGGTTGGTCATGGAATCTTCAACTATTACATCAGCAAATTTTCTGGCTTTTTTTATACCTTGATTAAATATGTATAATATTATTTTGTGACAGGTGACTCTGGTGGTGCTGTGTTCAAGGACTATAAAGAACGCACAATACAGGTGAACCAATGCTCCCACAATCTATCCTGAAACATGTACACTACTACATTAAAGAAGAAGAAGTATGTTCATGTGTAGACATAATATTAACAAACATTATTTTATATTTTATTGTCCAGGTTGCTCTGGTCAGCTGGGGATCCAAGTCTATGTGCCAGAAAGGTGGCAAGGTTGAGTCAGATAGCGAGTCAAGAGATTTTCACATCAATCTTTTCAAGGTTCTCCCGTTCCTCAAGTCTGTCCTCGCAAAAGACACGGACGACTACGTACCACTTGAGTTTATCAAGGGCAGTTAGTTTTGCAGCTGTAATTGGTTTTCTTTTCATAGATCTAAAGCAAAAAAAAAAAAAACAACATTTGTGGTTGAATTACGTCAAACACTGAGTTTAACAACGACAAGAAATTAAATTAAAAAAAGACAAATTCAACAAAAACTCTGAAATGTGAGCCCGTATCACAACCTACGCTCTGTCCTAAAAAGCTTTGATGGATTTTATTTCTGCACAAGCCATAAGTAATGCTTTGCAAATACATTTATTCAGCCATGTGTAAACAGGCTAATAAATCAGCTTTGACCTGAGGACTGGCTTTTATTTCTTCTTGGACGCTGACTCAGTTAAAAAAAAAAGATCTATACATTAATATGAATAGAATGAAACACTGGCCATAGGAGCACTAATGCAATTATTGTGCAATTTTAAAAAACCCTGCTTCATCTTAGTTTGGTTTGATTTGAATGCTGTGTAAATGTATTAATATGTTTTTTAAACACACGTGTTTTTGCACAATTAAACGCAATAAAACATTTTCAAGTGCACAAAAGTAAACAAAGAAAAGACTGTAATCTGACCAGTTTAAATTCAGTTTCTGATCCTCTTTGTATTCTTGTTTTTGTTTGTTTTTTGCTGAATGCTTTCTCCAACCGTTGGTGTTGAACGTGGAGAGCATTACACAAACAACAACGACAACAATTAATCAGTTAATCATTCAATTAGAAATAAACGATCCGAATGAAAGACATACTCCATCTTGCATGATCCTGATGGTAATTGTATGGTTACAAGTACAGCGGCATCAGTTGATATTCAAAGAGCAGCATCACATTCCATAGCAGCGTCTCTACATCATTCCCATGATCCTCTGCTCTTTCAGGTCCACTTCCTTCTTGACTTAATCATGTCTCATCACTTTCTCATTTTCTCCATCTTCCCAGGAATAACATTATTTCACTCAGCCTGTCACTAGGGATTATTACAGCAATTTGAGAGATGGATGGAATATATATATGTGTGTGTATGTATGTATGTATGTACGTATTTCTCAATGTAAAAGCCCTTAAATAAAATAAAGCTCACGACCGTCGTCACTGTGCGGGAGTTTCTACAGTGACTCTGATCAAATCAGAGACATCTTCCTTTTCTGAAGCCATTACCACACCTGAGGCAGAAACCAATGAATGGAAATATTACTACAGCACTTAGAAGGTTTCATCAAAACTCCCCTAATGGCTGCTGCTCTGCTGCTACAGCCGTACGGCTCCACCTTGGGTCAGTCGCTCAGGGCCCATTTCCAGCTCTTTGCGCTGGCCTACGCAATGCGGAGCCTCAGTGTGGCAGCAGGCCAAAACAGAGCCTTCAAACTGGATTTAGTGGAACGTTAACTTCTTTTTTCTGGTGAATGATTAAGCTTTTATCTTCCATAGTGGGTGGGAGATAGAAATAAACCGAGTCTGTCATTCACTGCCTCATCTCTACATCCCACAAATGAGGGCACTGCATTACTATTCTCAAGTCAGAGACGGTTTATGGCTTCAAACCACGTTACTCCACAATGATCTGCAGACCATTATACTGTCAGGATTTGTCTTCATGTAAATTTAGATCCGAGCTCCTCTCTACAAATGCACATCACCATCAGAGAACAGCAGTGGACGGTTCAACATCAACGTTAGGACTCACTGACATCATGGATCCCGTGTGTGTGTTTGGGGGGGGGGTCTGGGGATAGGTGTGTGTGTGTGGTGCTGCTGTGTCAGCTCAGTGATGCACTGGCTCCCCGTGGGAACATTCATCTGGTTTCCCTTTAACTAATTGGTAGAGATTGCAGGGGAGGGGGGGGTCAATTGGATGAAGAAGGGAGGACGAGACTAAGAAAGACAGAGTGTGTGAGAGGAGGGAAGAATGGGAGAGGCCTAATTGAATGAAACCCACTCATGGTCTCAGATGCTGTAAAACTGATCCCAGTGGAGGGATCAGGAACCTCTGTCTGTCTTTTACTGTTTAGAGCACCACCTGATAATTCAAATACCCTGTACTCCAACACAGCTAAAACCCTTCTCAAAGCTACGGCTAAACTGATTAGCTACATTTGGATGGAGCACACACACGCACACACAGAGTCTGTTCTTCACAGAGTTGTGAGGGCTAAACTCTTACCAAAACAATGCTTAATCAAAATCCATACTCTAGCTAGCTAACTTATAACTAAATAACTAACCTGACCCCAATTCTAATCCCAACTCAAATCTTAATCTACATCTGTGTGTGTTCTCAGTCATCCTGGTCACCTTTATTCAAAGCAGTTACATCAGGGTCATCTGGACTGGTTACAATCTTGAAGACATTTCTGCTGAAATGTCTTCAGGCCAAGAGGCCACAAAGCAGTTACATCAGGGTCATCTGGACCGGTTACAATCTTGAAGACATTTCTCCTGAAATGTCTTCAGGCCAAGAGGCTTCTTCAGTTCTAACTGACTGCTGGGAAATTCTGGCATTTAACCTTAGAGAGAACATGAAATATATATTCAGTTGATGTTCACTGCCATAGTATCACCACTATGGTCTGCCCTGTTGTTAAGGTGCAGTTAATACCACAATTTAATTTATATAAACCAACATCTACAGTAAGTGCAGGTTAACTGGGTGGACCGGAGTGATTCGACTGTGTTGACACAAGAGATGTGTTTACCAAGAAAACAAGGTCAAAAAACATATTCTACCTTTTAATTAGAGTCTTAGATTTAAGATTTCTAACATACTGGCCCTGTCACACACACACTCACACACCAGAAAAAACCCTTCTTCACATTGCGCACACACAGCAAATCCCTGATGAAGCATCCCACTGTTTAAACTCTGGCTGATCCGTCTCTCTGCCATCTCTAAATCAACCTTAAGGGCCATTTTAGAGATTACAACCCCTTCAGGAAGTGCATACATACACTTTCTCCACCATTTGTGCTTTAAAAAAAACTGCTCACGTGAAGCAGTGCTGATCTGCTGATCCTGCTGA